TCTATGAAGAGACACTTCGTCGTCGTCTCATAGCCCTAGGAAATAGCATTACAGCACCATAGCTCATGACTGCCTAGAATGCCATGAAACGAAAGTACTGCCATCTACTCTTATCTCGTTTCATCTCCTGGCACTTGTACTAGCCAAATGAAGATTACTTGGTTTTTTAGGTGCCATTTTTCGCGGCTATACGCACTTTTTTTCATGGCTTCATAGCGAGGGCAACAAATATCTGACAAACATCTTGAAAGGTAGAATAAATTGGTGATAAATTCCCTTCATTATTCTTTCGAGTGTAATGGACAACTCCGCATGCGCACTTAAGATTTACCCAGCTAGACATTTTTCATTCCTGCTTTTAGTGAACGCTAACCGAACCACACAGTGTGCACGAGGGAGTGGTATAACTCACCCTATCCTAGTAGTAATATTTTATCGTTTTTTTTTCCTAGTCCAAGTTGTATAAAATAGCCTAAAAAATCTGAATAAATTCTTACATTTATCTGCTGTTTTGGTGATGTTTCTTTGGGAAGGCTGTTACAGGAATGACCTGTGGAGCAGGTATGGTCATTAAGGGCAGTTGCGTGTTTAGATAATGCAGTCACACTGCTCCTGCTTGCTATTCATAAGAAGCATTTAACGTGCCTGGAAACTTTCATCAATTCTTATTTCTGTGCACGCCATTCCTAATATTTGTGTGGTGACCACACGTGTGATCAAGGTTTACGAATGTGCCAACCAAAATTCTGGTTATTCTGTTGCACCAACCAGGAGATGCCGGCAGACTGGCCCATCCACCGGCATTGCTTCACCGGCGGATGGTCAGAGGCCCAGCAGTGGATGGACACGTTTCCAAACTTGTTCTTGGGGCTGACTCCCCTGGTGGGTTTCCACAGCGCTGCACCGCTTGCTGAGGTTGGCCGCCGGATCCCCCTGGACCGCCTGCTGCTGGAGACGGATGCACCCTACTTCCTCCCAAATAGCGTAAGTGAAATATTCACTTTTAACTGCAAACAGTGTTTCGCATAAATAGCATAAGTTATGTTAGTCTCTTTAAACAATACTCCATGTTTCTCGTAAAATAGACGAAGAATATGAGCGAAATTTGCAGGTTTATTTCAACATTGAAACAACCTAAGGAATTGTTCCCTACATTCAGGTATATAATTGAAAACTTCATCGCGTGCAAAATGGCTGCTCATGTGCTTGTCTAATTTCGTGGTACTGTCTTGTTATGTTGTCCTTTCTAATCTACTACAAAAGACTTGTGGCGAGCAGCATAACTGAAAAAATAAAAAAGCCCAATATCGATTAGTATTGCATCAGGCCAGAGATTTTGTTTTTCATGTACTTAGGGTAATGCCTGGAGAATTGCAATGCGATCTTTGTGGCATTTTTTGTGAAGCATTTGAAAGCCTGCCACTGACATCTCTCACTACATGCCTGTGCAGCATCATCTCAGTGGTTGTGCTTTGTTTATATTTGTATTGTGTAACAAAACAGTGAAGACATCAATTGCGCACTTCGTCGACTGAAATTTATATTTGCCAAGTATAGCAAATACCATTTTCTGGCTGTATACCGAAGAGGAAAAAGGGATCGAGAAAAATAATATCGAACGTCAATTCTGAAGGTCATGAGCTAAGATAATTTGTTCAAGCGACGGAAACGACAGAAAGGCTGCAAGAAAAAAAATTATTTTAGTGCAGGAAAGGCAGCAGCCTTCAGCCTTTAGGAGCAGCTCAGGGAACAGGAATAATCTGGTTTTGGAGCAGTAAAAGGGAGTTTAAGAGCAACTCTGGAGGACCAAAAGTTGTGTATTGAAGCATCAAAATTTAGTTTTGAAACAGATTCGCAGGCCACACATCACCCTTAGAACAGCAGGTCAGGTCTAGAGATGAGCTAATAACAGGTATTTACCTGTTAAACCCAATGGGGCTCTATAAAAATGAATGTAAAAAAAACTTGTGTTCTGGTCGTCGACGTGCCACAACTGAATTTATACGCGCTCACCGCGCATTGCTTGGCGATGGGGTGGAGTTTTTTTTTATTACGATATAGGCACTCGACGAGTTTTTACCATCGACCCATGTTGCGCGTAAATTACAAGTTGGTAGCATTCCCTGCACATCGTACTTTCTGGCTGCGCGTAAATTCTTTCGAGCTGTAGAGTTACTGTACATGATACCGTAGGCAGCAGAGTTGCGCATAGGTCTGCCATTTTGCCCGCCGGCACGGCAATGTTAAGCGGGAAAGCCACCCCTCTGGACTGTAGGAGCCTACACTGCTCAGCGGCTCCGTGTACTTTCTCAGTATACGCTCGTTCATAACGTGTCGCTGACGCTGGCCCATAGCTAAAAGGAAGGGGGAGGGGGCTCTTTACCGAAATTTTGGGTACGTGTATTTTACTGAAAATGGCTCATAAAAGTGAGTTTTTCATGATCTTCAGCAAATCAGCCCCCTACCCCCGCTAAAAAAAAATACTGCATATGGGCTGGTGCAATGACTCTCGCTTAAAAGAAAAACACTAAAACGGACAGCAGGAAACACCACCGCAAAACCGACAAACAATCCGCACTGCTCGAGCCGAACCGCCTCGCGCTTCGCCGGGCGGACGGCTTGACAGTGCAGTGGTGGCGCTGCGGTCGCCAGCACCCGCGCAGCCGTGAAGTTGGCTTTCCCTTAAACGATTCCTTTTTGCACACGTGAGCGCGCTAGACGATTGGTAGCGCGAGCGGCGAGTTCTGTCAGAGGCCGCTGCCTAAAGGTAGCATATACAGTAACTCTAGTGAGCTGGGGTGACGAGCGCCGCTCAGGCTGTGATTAAACCAGGCGGCTCATCTCCCTCGCTCGTTTGGTGGACGCGATGGCATGCTACCGCGTGTTAGGCACTCCGACGAATGCTCACGCAGGAGAAAAAAAAACACTGCCCGCCTCGAACAAGCATGAAAAGACGTGAGGGAAGGGGGATCCCTCAAGCAGCTGCGTTAAACTCGGATTCTAAGGTCATGGTTGCGACGGCTGGCAAGCGCGCTACCTCGGCGAGCTCGTAAACCGTTCGTCGTGATGCCCACTCAATGGGAAGAGATTGTGTCATAAGAGCACTTCTCCCTAGAACGGCCGCATTGATTCTCTTACCCCAGCGTTTTGTAGAGTTATGCGTTGTCGGATTCGAAAGAGTTAGCTCTCAGCCTTCGAATTGTCACGGGTCTGTGACGTTGACGAAGGCAGCAGCCGCTGCTTTCAGGGGTGAACTTTCTGTTTCGGCGAACCTGTGAGCGGGAAACAAAACGTCACTCTATAAGCAATACACGCTGTACACTGATGGCAGCGTTGGTCGTCGATCTGCCGAGCGGCGAATTTCGTCGGCGCTCATACACGCGCCATCGAAGGTTCCAGCGTTATCGATAGCAAACTACAATACAAACTGTGCAATTGAATTCATCGCTTCACCGGTGAAACTGATTTTTATTTTTCAATTTATATGGTTCGAAGGTCTCGATCGCATAGCACTTACTGTGTTCAGCGGTTGCTCAACAACAGCGGCGAGTTTTTTTTTTTCTTTTTCTGCAACACCACTGTCGTATTTCTAGTTGACCACTGTGTATGAAAAACCATTTAGGTGTGGACACTATTACCAACGCCGCGTCCAGATAATGTCCGACACTTTCCTCCTCCAGGCCCCGATGTGGCCTGGATCATGTGCTATGGAAGACGAGCTGTGTGCGTCATTGAATTTCCTGAAATTACTAGAGGGGACTCTGACGCTGCGATCGTTCAGCGACTATGGAAATATGGGTATAACATGATTTTGCCTAGCATTCGTCCTTGTGGGTGGCGAATGCGTAGCTTCGTTTATTGCAGTGTTTTCTTTCTGTTTCGAAGGAAAGAACGAATTGTTTCTCACTTTGTGACCCGATTTGAAGTGGTAAGTCTAAAATATTAAGATCATGAAGCGTAACTGCCGAAAGTTTGCCGATTGTTGTTTCGTGACGAAGCAGTTTCAAGTCACACAAAGCCAGAACTAATGTAAAGTACGAAGACTAGGAAATCCATGTCATACCCATAATTCCCAGGTTCACTGAAGCATCATGCGTTGCAGATCCCATTGACACTAGCGCCAGAGTTCCCTCTAGTGTATATTTAGTAAGCTCTACAGCGTGCGTATAGCGTCCGTAACGGCATTGTGCACATGACAACTCAAGGGAGCCTAAGGTCCCTAGATGGAACAAGTTGTTTCATCTAGGGATCTTAGGGAGCCTTCGTGTGCAAGCCGCACATAACTCAGCGTCGGAATTACAATTTTTTTTCCTTCTCACGCATCCATTTGTGGCGTTCGCAGCACGGGCGTTTCTCGGTCGTGGAAAATGCGGTATGCGTTTGTAACTCTTGTTCCAAGCGTGCACGATTTAAAAGAATCCTACGAGCTACAAAGAAACGAAAAAACGCACGTTTGCCTCGTCGCGCCGCGCTTCCCACGAAACTGCAGACGGTGCATGTAGAAAAGCCGAACATTATCTGGACGCGCTCTCCGTCATGCACGGCGGAAATTATTTTTCTTACACCGAGAGTCTGACTAACAGCTTTGCTGTTAACACTATTTACAGTCGCATAATGACGTAAGTATGCACACAAACGCCACTTTAACAAGATCTATGCACTTTGTTCCCGTGACTCATGAATCATGCATGAACCGACATACGATGTGACCGAAGTGCATTTGACATGAATGCGGTTGCTTTATGCAGCCAACGCGCGTTGGTCACTCGATGATAAAACTCGACTAAATTTGGCATGACACACGCAAGTTTCCGTTCAGGCGCATCTTGGCGCAGATATGCACCGTTCAGTCGAGTTTTTCAGTCTGACTGCAGCGCCAGAATACGTAGCCTAGCGGATGAACGAAACAACGTTGAGACGGCCCCAATGAAAAGGGAACGTGACGTGCCCGTTTCGCGCCCTCCATCTGTCGGCAGATTGTGGCTGGGATACATGGGGGATGCGAGGAACCGTGTATTTTCTGCGTGCCCATAACGTCGAATGTCAAAGACTTTGAGACGGGGCAGTGTGAGCAACGCAGCTCCATCTGGCCAGTGTGTGGTGCCTATGGCGTAGAACTTTCACCCCTGCTATAACTATTGAATAAATATTGGTGAACAGCAATTTTTACAATATTATTCCACTTCAACCACCTGCAAATGGCGCAGTCATGAAGTTTGGTCTGGAATCATGTATAGCTTACTGATGAATACCTTTGAAATTGTGGAACACTGCTGTTTTTATAGGCGAATAACGACATGTGGCGGGACGAGTTGCTTATGTGCCTTCTTTCATACCTCGCAGGAGTCCAATCGTCTCAAGCAGTCCCATCCAGGGATGGCCATCCACGTGGCCACGCAGCTGTCGGCGATGCGCAGCATCCCGCTGGAAGAAGTCCTGGTTGCTGTCCGCCGGAACACGAGGAGAATGTACCGCATTTAATGTGACTTTTTTACTTCGTTAATATTTTCGGCGTGCTGTTCAACCCAAATGTGGACATGCGAGCCCTTCGGGGTTCCTTAACGTGCACCTAAATCTAAATAAACCGCCGTGCTTGTCTTCAGTTTCGCACCTTAAGGCTAGTGATGAATCGAACCTGTGATGTTGTGTTTTGTTCTACTGTTTCACTTTGGGATGTGGCATGCTTTGTGTAGAATAGTAATTGTAGGGGTTTAACATCCAAAACCACAGTATGATTGTGAGGCATGCCGCAATAGAGGGCCTCGTGAATTTAAGCCATCTCTTGTTCTGCATACACGGACCTGAAGCATTTTCGTCTCCACCGAAAGCAGAGCCGCCGAGGACGGGCTGCTCTCCCGCGTCCTTCGGGTCAGCACTGTGACCACTAAACAATGGTGGGAGTGGGTTCTTCTTGAAGCTACAACGTTATTACGAGGCGTAGAAGATGAATTACTAGTGGTATTCATTCAGGGAAACACTATTGATGTCCAACCACTGGGAAAGTCTACAATATCAATGTATAATTATTTCCGACAGTATACTGCAATGAATAGTTTGTAGTATGTACGCGATAGATCGTTTGAATGCAATATGCGATCATACCAGAGACAATTATAGTCATCGCGTTGTATATACGCATTATTGAGCTAGCTATAATGTGTTTTTTACCCGTTGTGCGGGACCCGGTGCCACTCTACAATGTATTTTATGTACACTTGCTTCAATTTTCGAGTGTAACTTGCACTAAACTCAGCTTCAGACTAAGGAGTCGAAGCCTATAGCATTTCTCGTACCATTGTCACAACAGTGCGGCTACCCAAATTACGCGCGAATGCTTCATATAGCCAACTTCAATGTACAACTAACGACCACGTCGCCGAAAATATCCCTTGCTGGCTTCGACCCTAGTTTCTCGAAGTCAAAGCAAGATGGCACTCCTTCACCAGGACGGCCGTCGCCAACCGAAGCCATGAGAAGATTCTTGTTATACGAAAGTACTGCATAAAAGGCCTACTCAGACCGTCACCACGACAACTTGCCGGCGGATGTCGACGTATTGGCGTGCAGGTGAACGAGCCATGACGTCATTCAGAAAAATTGGATTACCAACCGGGAGGTGGAAGGACACATTCGGGCGCTGCAGCTCACTCATTGTAAGAAGAATTATATTTAAAACCATGGACTGCTGAGTAGCAACAAGCACTGGTGATTATAAAGAGACATTTGAATTTTTAGAGCATTAGTCAATGCAAGGTTTTATACTGTAGCACTGTTTCACTGAGAAGTTTCGTCGTGTACGCCTTCATGTGTGCCCTTATGTATACTGCCTATAACAGCATGAAATAATTATATGTGTTTTTTGTTTTTTGTCAGAACTCGGCTCTGGCCTTGTATTTGTACACCAACTGGCTTTTCACGGAGACCGAAAAGTGCGTGCTTTCGTGGTGCCATTCGGGGCACTGGCACGTCTGGCTTTGCTATGCGGAAGGCGACAGTGTCCCGTTCTTTGGCTGTGACAAGTATTTAATGTGAAAGTGCAATGTTCAATTACTTGTGCTGAGCTGCAAGTATACATGCGTAAATTTTGTACGCTTTTTGATTGTGTACATATATGCAAATACTGTGTGTGCAACTGTGTATACTGTACTTCCTGTTCTGTGCGAACACCTTCGCTCAACAATTTCCTCGGTGTGTTATGAAATTTTGCAAAATTTAATAAAATATGTTACTGAAATTGATAAAGCTCTTCTTGCTTCTTTGTCTAAGTTACTATCTTTTAGTGCGCGTGGCTGCGAGAGAGATGCGTTTAATCCGTGCCACTTTTAATGCGATAGCATTGATGAGCTCGTTTCGTAGAAATTCCGGCATCGGTTTTTTTTTTTTTGAGCGAAAAATCATCTTATGAGTGACCGAAATTGAGAAGGATACAAATAAAATAAGAAATAATGGAGCTGAGTGGAGACTGAACTAGGATTGTTTGGGTATCAGTGGGTATCGAACCGGGGTCGCTTGCGTTGCAAGCGGATGTTCTACCACACGGCCACGCCTCGAAAACAGTGCTTCTGAAAACAGTGAAAAGAACTTCCTCTGCTTGGAAATGCAATTAAAGTACCTTTAATGGTTGACAAACACACGCGTCCTGAATACATGCATGTTTGTCAATGCAACACAAAATATTGCAGTAATAATGCGTGGTACAAGCGTTCATTGTCAACGGGCGTCTGAATATGTGATTATCATAATGGCTTTGTACAGTACCCCACTACAAAAGGTGCATATGCTACGGCACCTGTTCTCTTAAGGCCAAGTAGTGAGTGCATAGCAAATTCGAAAAGGTTTCATGCACTAAATGTTTGATGTACGCACTAGGAACAGGATGTTGCTATCGAGTTCAACTCCTAAAAGCGAAGCTTTAGGGCCCCTTAAATTTTTTGTAACTCTTAACAAAAAACGATTCATTATTGTAGCATTCTTACCCATGCATATATGTTTTAGACAACCATTTATTTACACTTGCGTAACGATGGCCACAGTAACATGAATATTAGTGACCCCTGATGCGGCAAAGTTGTATATAACGTTTATGCCTTCGGAAATACATGTAACGTTACATATCATCCCTAGGATATGTAACACTTGTGCTCCTGGGGTGATTCCACATAAATAAAATTCAGTGGATGGCGCTTAACTACAGAGACGTTAACCTGACGTGACGGCTGTATCGTGGAAGTACATATGTAACTTTTAATGTTTATAAAGTTGTACAGCCAGCACTGCACATAATTGACGTTTCACCAACATCAAATACGCATCAATAGTGTATTTTTTCACAGGAGTGTCCAGACCTGCCATAGCTATGTTGTAGAATACTTGATTGTCATGCAGAGTGCTTCGGTTTGGATACAGCCTGGGTCCTGATATTTATTATTATTTATTTGCATTCGTCGGGTAAACGCTGCCGATGTCAGCTTTTCTTTAACGCTCAGCGTTGAAATGAGCATTGTCTGTTCTCGTGTTCTCTCTATTTCTAGACTAACTGTCAATAACTTGTGGCACATATATCCACATAGATCTGGCCAGTGTGTCAGAACTGACCGAAAACAAATGAGTGATGAACTTCATTTAAAGTCCGGCAGTTTTAATCGGGAGAGGCAGGCGGGAAACTCTTGTCCTTTCCCACCCTCCATCGATGAAAATGGCGGTGAGTCAGGTCACTCGTTGAAGTCCTTCGACCGGGGCGGCATCTTCGGCTTACCAGATGGCCCTGGTCAGCCAGCTCGTTGCTGGTGAGTGCCGCCTCCCAGCGACAGCGCAGCTGACGCAGGTGATCCGCAGCAGTGACCGCTGCCGCGGCGGTGGCCGACCCCTGTCCTCGCGCGGTTGTAGCAGCAACAATTCGACTCGGAGTTCCTCCCTGCCGAAACATGCGTCGCGAAGTGAGTGGTGGCAATGACACACACTCAAAGGATGTGCTGCAGTGTGGCCCTTTCCCCACACGCTTTACACGCGTCCGTCGAGTATAGGCTTGGATAACACAGGCGTAGGATCGCCCAGCTGGCGTGAGTATTAGATTCGAAGCAGCTCTTTGTCAAGCCTGTGTAACGCTGTTTCTCCGTCCACACCGCTCTCCTCATGGCAAGTGTTGGAGCGGTGCCAAGTAGGTCCCGCTCTCCTAGTAGTTCGTGGTGACGTCTCTATTCCTCGCCTTCCGCGCGCTTCCCGCATGTGAGCTCACTCTCGCTTCACCCTCTCCACAGCTCGAAACGCTAGAGCCCACTTCTCACGTGGGCATCATTCAACGCCGACTAAATTTCAAGGCCGAAAGGCTGCAGCAGGGACGTCAGAGGTTGGGGGCCCATTTGCCCAACTGAGCATGCTCAGTAGGACTTTTTTTCCACAACTTTTATTCGGCCCAATCAAGCCAAAGCAGCTGCGAGAGCGTTGGTTCTCCTAAAACGTGAACGAAACACAGGCTTTCTGCCGCGTCCGCGGCGTAACTGGGCCTCCACCCTCTGACGTCACTGCGGCAGCCTTTCGGCCTTGAAATTTAGTCCGCGTTGGCATCATCTCACCAGCACCACCTCTCTCCATCTGCGGGCGAGAAGAAGCCACGAGCAGGGGGAGCGCGTGCTGCGAGAATCTCGCGGCGTTGACAATGTGGACAGCGCGCCGCTGCCTGCCACGCGATCGCCATAGAGTAACATAGTGAAGGTGTTGCTCTATGGGATCGCGATGACGGGCGGGACGGTGTCGCGACATGCTTCCCGCTAGTGTGCGCATACGTTTCCCCGATGTCGCCGGCGTTGCGATGGTTAGCAAAGCCGATCGCGTTCGCGAATGGCAACGTCAACATCGACGAGGCGCGAGTCAGGGAAGCCGAACGCAAGCGTCTTCGGCGCGTCCCACCTGCCCTTAGTGTTTCAAACAAACGTTTACTGGAGTAAACGCTACACCGGGTTTCGCTTCAAGTCGTTCTTCCAGCACACGCGTTGACACTCGATTCAACTGGGTCAACGCCATGCGCACCACTGCTGCTTCACATCCCATCAGGGTTCTTTCTTGGACATCCTGCCAGGTTCAAACAGTTTTTGTTTGTAATAATCGCAGAGTCATGACTGTCTTTTGTTTTATTTGTTGTGAGGTGATGCAATTTGCGTCTGTTTATTCTGTGATGTTGTGTAATGTCGTTGAATGTGATCAGGCGATCATCTCACAACCATTCCAGTTGCTGTTGTGTTAATAATATCTCGGAGACGGTGCGGCCACCAAAGCGGCCGCGGCTCGGTAAGTGAGATTTCCAGCCACGGTGTGGCCTGGTTGCCTGCGAGCGGGACGCCGCATAGTGTGAGCGGAGTCCACGGGAGGTAGGTCATCGCATTTTCTGTTTCGAAAAGCGTCGACGTCGAGGCTATCGCTTCCGGAAGCTCACCGCTGTCCTTGCTGCGATAAAGGAATTGATATGTCCGGGCCACCTGCCGCAA